AAAGGGATCTTGCTCTTGACTTACTGAAAAGAAGACTCAGTCACAGAAGCTAAAATCTGGTCAGCTGCCTACCCACGTGTGCGTGCACAGACCACTTTTCTCACACAGTGCATCAAGGACAGGTTGCCAGTCCAGTTCTGTCTAATTCCTACATTCTGTACCAATTTACTTGCACTTGTGATGCAAGATATCTTGCAGACAGGCCAGGTGTTTGCCAAGACGGGTAGCGAAATACTACTCAATGTCACTACGAAGAGGCACGTCTGGAAGCAATAACAGTGCTAGCATAGAGCACTTGCTCCTAAGCCGAGATGAAATCCAGATAGTAGATGTGGTTAACCTTTCATATTCCGCGCTGCTACGTTGTCCTAAACCGTTACCAAAACATCTCTTGAAGAACCTGAAGTAATCGCAATCAGAACGGTCCAGCCTGAATTGTGCAAGCAGAAGGTTCTTGTGCAAACCCTCCCCTTATCTTGGCCACGTGGCAATTCCCCGATTTCGAACAATGGCAGTGTGCTGTCGGTTGAGAGGCCTGCCCCTACTAAGTAGACTGTGTTGACCCAAGTTACTGGTCTCGTTCAAACGCTTGTGGCATAGCAGGCTTCAACAAGAGGCTGCCTCCACAATTTCGCTCACGTTTGCTGGGAACAGCGCGTGAGCACTGACCATACTTCGTCGCCGTGTATTCGGTGCGGGAAGACCGAGTGAACTGCACAACCTCGATCATTCACACTCCAGGCTCCGATGGCTGGTCCATGAGTTGCGTGTACCAGGGCACTGAGTCCCGAGTCGTGCGTTGGTTGCGCGACCCGGGTGTGGATGAAGGAAGAGGAGGGGAGGCCAAGCGATGAATTGAATAAAAGGAATGAAGGTCCTCACTTCAAACTTGGCGTCGGTTGGCGCCTGTCGACCGCCGGGCTGGGATCCGAAGGACCGTGAACACCCTTAGTTGGATACATTCGTTGATATGGCAAGCAACCGACCTAAGTGGCGTTTTTGTTGTAAGTCTCTCTGTCCCCCCCCCTTCTCTTTAGCTTCCCCTCCTCCAACAATGCATAATGACATTTAGTATTAGTACATTTTAAGCTTTTGTACTGCGGCACATTAACTGAGGTGTGTTGCTCACCCTCGGCTAACGTGTATTGATAATGAAGAACAGCCTTCAAACCAGCTTTCAGAAGCATACTGTGTTGCCCGATACTTTCTTATACTTGTAATAATCTTATGGGAATTGTTGGAAAGTGAAGTCTTCACTAATTGGACTTCTTATTAAGCAACGAGCAATAACTCATGAGTTGAACTCGATTTCTGTTGCGCATTGGTTAGAGGGAGGATTGGGACAATTTTCAAGACAACGAACAATGGGCGTGGATGTGAGGTCGATAGCTATGATTGAAAATGGTCTCCGGAGTAGTAAAAATTGTAGGGGCGTTTTGTTCGCGCTCAACGGCATGGTAAGCATGTGACTATTCCAGGTGGATGGATCGATGCTATGGATTTACCGGCCGGATAAAACCCCGCTATCATGTGCAAAATACGTGCATATTTGGTTACGAGCACCAATAAAGAGAACAAGGTCAACTAAGCCGTTGCAAACGTATCGGAGACAAGCTGGTCGACAGCTAATCGCCATTTCTGAGTAATTTGTAAACAACACAGAGCTTCGGTTGAATCAACGGCAGTGACCTCAGTCATATTATAAAGCATTATATGCTGCAAATGTTGGCGTCCATGTTGTTCTATCGCTCACGCGACTTCAATGAGAACAGGGTAGGTTGTTTGTCTTCAAACTGAAGAAAGGATGCAGCAAACCTTTCGCCCGTTGAACGCGGCAAGTTAAATGGGTTCACTAGCAATTTGGATTCGATGTGTGTGTGTGTGTGTGTGCATACCTCATTACGAGGTTTTCCGGGTATCGGACTCCTCGCACCACGAATATACATGCAGTGTGACTGAGTAAATTTGCCGATACACTAAGCGGTATTAATACGGAGTAAACTGAATCCTTGCAATTCGTCATCAGCTAAGACACATGACTCGGTGGAACAGCGACTGACCGTGTCGGAATCTTAGCGCCACGTGCCCTTCGGGACAGTTGTGTTGAGCGCTACTCAACGCTAGAGTGCACCAGGGAGGGTCAGAGAATGGATTGATGACATAGGCTCAGATCTATTGATCTGCTCTGCGAGTATCCCATTAGGTGCCTAATGGCTGGTCCAAGCGGCTTCTTTTATGCGAGCCGATTATGCGGTGTTCTATGGCTGGTAGTGTTAACGATCTGCACAGACAAAACGATATCAACTACATGAATTTAGCAAGAAGCAGGAGCAGCAAGTCGCGGGAATCGAAGACACTGATGACTAAAAGGGATGCCGTTGGTCTGTCTTACAATCCGGGCTGGAGTCCGCCTGACCCGCCTTCTGCTTGGTTCGAGACGTTACAGGACAAGGGTCGCAGTTGGCAGCAGTGGTATGTCTGCACTCGCCTCCTAGACAGATTGCCTGTTTGAAGTGTGTCTGACGTTGAGTTATCTGTGGTGTAATGTTGATTATGACTCAGGGAAGTGGAAGTCGCAGGAAGCTGTATTTCCAATACTGCCTTATCTTTGAACGCCAGCCAGCTGCTTATGACCGTACGTTGTTAACAAGTTTACAGGCGCATTTCTGCTAAATTTTTGCTTATGTTGGTTGGGTCACACATGAGGTTCCTCCACTTTCTTTCATATTAATCTTCATTCCCAAGTTATTCTGGCTGTATCGCAGGGTAGCATCGATTAGGGTTACTAATGTACTGATGATAATAACGGTGGTAACTGAGTCACCGGAAGTGCTGTTACCGCACCAAGATGCCCGAAGGACGAGTTGTGTGTCAGGGAGAGAAGAATCTGATATGTAAGCTCGGGGCGTAGACATCTCGGCACCAACCGAACCGGCATGGTAGGTCACCAACCGGATTACGATGAGCTTAAAACGAAGAGAAGATAGGTAACTGGATAATTATGCGAATGACAAATGCTGCATCCAGCTTCTGTTATCGGATCTGAAGTAGTACAATGACCTGACCTGTGAAGTTCATCTGCGCTCGATGTGAATATGGACAGTCAACCCGTCTCATGCTACCAGTATGATTGATAGCTCCAGAAAACCGATAATCGTTTCCGGTGAACCGGTTTTCACAGTCGTTGTGATAGTGACAATCTTGAAAAGCAGCCCCATCGTGGAAGATGCGTAGGGTCATCCACCAGCATGTGAGACGAATGTGTTCCAATCAATGTTTGCTATTTGCTGATGATCTAAAGGTATGGCGTACTATAGCTGCAGTGGAGGATCACACAGTGTTACAGGAGGACCTGGACAAAGCGTACACATGTTCCATGGAGAACATGCTGCATTTCAACGTCACCAAGTGCAAAGTTCTCAGCATACGACACAAGACTATGCACAAGTACCGCCTAGGACCACAAATTCTACAGCGTGCTTCTCACGAGTGCGATCTCGGAGTTCTAGTTCAAGATGACCTCGGTTGTTTAAGGCAGACTGAAAAGGCATCTAAGAAAACAAACCAGTACCTCGGCCTTCCTCGCAGAGCTTTCGGGAAGTTTGATCCTTCAGTCTTTCCAAAAATGCTTAGTGCGTACGTGAGGCCGCACACCGAATACGCTATTCAAGCCTGGCAACCCTGGCTCAATCACCATCTTACCGCGCTCGATATTGCACAACGTAGGGCAACGAAGAGCGTCAGAGGTTTGACCAGCCTCCCCTACCCACTCAGGCTGAAGACTCTCAAAATATACAGTGGACGTTATCGGCGTCTAAGGGGCGACCTCATAATGGTGCACATGAATCTGAAAACCCCCAACCACCCATGCCATTCCCTTCCAATACTCAGTCAAAACACCCCGCTAAGAGGTCACCAGTTTAAACTGGTCACGCAGTACAGCTGCCCGGAATGTCGGCGAAACTATTTCTTCCTTCGAGTGTCACAGCCTTGGAACGCCCTCCCGGAACATGTAATTAATGCTCCCACCCTATTCCTTTCCAAAAAACGCCTTGACGATACTCTGTCACATTTACACTACGTGCTATAGCCCATGACCACCAGATGTTGGCACTAATGCACAACAGACAGTGGATGGTGTCATAACCCAACTCGAGCATGAGTCACTCCAAACCCCTTGCACAAAATTTGATAAACGCTACTCCTATAGAAATTGGATTTCTGTATCCCATCGACCCAAGATAGTTACACACGAGTAAGCGTTGTCATTGCTATTTTTTATTTTTGTCTCGTCTATTATGTGATCAATAACCACTCCCTTTATTGCTTTTTGTGCGTAGATTATAATTTTAAACCTTTTATACGGCAGCGCAGTTAAATCTGTAATCGCCCGAACTGACGATTCCATTGTCCCTTGGTCTATCTTTTCTCACTCTAAACACTCTACGGGACATGTCAAGCACCTGCTCTTTTACCCGTTATAAATCATTGTTCATTGTTCACTGTTCAATGTCGTGTGTGTTGGAGGCAGAATAGCATCAGCATTACCCTGGTACTTAGCACCGAGGTTTAATTGCCACGCGATCGCCATCAGTTGCACACGGGCCGGGTATACCGCAAGGTCGATAACACCTGCAAAGATCCGAACTAGCGACTTGTGGACTTCAAGGTAGACGACTTATCCCACTCAGACGTCGGTCGGATCACGGACCACAACCGAAGCTAGTGTACTTCCTAGCCACATACCACTTGGTCTTATTCCGTTTGACTTGCACCGAACATGGGGCGCGTGAGTGGAATTACGAGCCGTACAGCGTGCTCTATCAATGGTACACTGTAAACGGAGATGTGTTGCAGTCACAGTACCAGACGAACCGAGAGGCGAATGAGGCCAAATACTAATTGTGTCCATATTCAAACAAAAATAATCTCATTTAGGTGTGTAGTTTTCATTCACTCAACAAACATACCTATCAGCAAATCCATCTATTATTAATTACGATGTCTCTTGGCGCTTGTAGCCATGATAGCAGACCAGCTGCACAAAGGACACGAGCTTGCTCGCGCAGATTACACAGTCTGCACAAACGCGCTATACAAAACACAACCACACGGGATATAGACATGTGAATTGGCAATTCAAGCTCGGAAGCCAGGAAAGTTAGTAGAAGCCGCAAACCAACCTTATCACACCTGCTGGAACACTCGGAGACGGGTGCAAAGCACTGTATGCCGAAGGAATCGCGTGGCCATTCGATCGATCGAATTTGTGTGGAAGACGTTCCGACGGAATAGCAAATTCCAAGTATCCACGTGTCGGCTCAACCACAGAAGAACGGGTTGGAGCGCCTACCGTGGGCTTCGGTCTGTCACTTTCAAATTCCGGATCTGTGTGAAAGTGAAACGGACAGGGCCTAGTCGATACTTGGAATCGGAATCAGAGTAAGTGCAACGTGAGTTACATAAATAGGATTCAACCTCTTGGTCTGTACGGGTAAATTGTTGCACATGATTGATGCCATTCCGCAGATACGTTTCCTCCTGATGTTAAACAAAGTTAGTCCATGGTGACCTTTAAAGACGTAGCTACTAATGACTACCATTTGTAAGTCAAGTCAGATCAAGTCAAAAAAGCTGCTTTATGCACCCAGAACAGGTGAATATTCAACCGTGCTTAGTTATGTCATCGGGTACTCTGCATACAACACTGTGTACTTTCATAAATCACACATTCATTGAAGAGGGTATGATCGTTGAATGCGGTTGTACATGTAGTTTTTTCGTACACTTCCTCTGGAACATTTTTTGCTACGTAAGTTCGTGAGGCTGTGCTAAAAATACATTAATCGGAGCTCTGCGTGCACACACACACACGTCAGCATTAACAACTGGGGCCAAGCAATGCCATCCTCTCAGCGCACAGAGGGAAAAGAGATGGAGACATCAGGGGCTGTCTGTGTGCATCCCCCATGCAGTGTGTTGCCATAAACAACTCAGTGTGCTTACCTGGGCCCGTTCAACTTAATGACGAGTCTAAGGTGAACGCGGTTTACTTAAACGAAACAGAAAGTTTCCCTTTAAGCGCAGAAGGCAATGACAAAGAGAGTTAGTCATTAAACTTAATAACAACAGTAAACTTTACAACAATAATAATCTGCAATCGCCTTAGCAGCTCACATGCCACCTCGATTGGTGGCGGAGTGCAAAGTAAGTCGTATCTTTAGAGGCCAGTTCTGCCCTCTGCACGTTCATAACACACATGATAGTGAAGGAAGAGCCGCGCTAGTTCACAGTTAGACATCAGTTGTGGCGGTCCGCCGCCATTACCCATGGTTCAGTGGCATAAATCGCTGGTTCGTAAAAGTAAGGTCATAGGTTCGAATCCGGAAGGATTCGGCGGGTGGGCGCTACTGATAAGTCCCAAGAGATCGAAACGGCCGTCAGGCGCTTTTCTGGTTGTGTGATGACTATCTGGTCGAGTCTAGCTTCGAGGAATCTTCCCTAACTCCTAGACACACAAGACAGGGAAACGACTCGCAGATTGAAATGATAGCAAGATTGATAGATTATGTTACAAATATAGTTCGTGCTTTCAACTGATACAAAGCTTATAAATTGCAAATGCCGTTTGTAAGGGATGAAAAAAGGTAGATAGCAGCAGTACACCTATGCGCAGTACCGATGCTTCGCTGCCGCGCAACCACCAACAGTCACGCGTGGGCTACGGATACTGAGAGGTGGCCCTGTCCCCTGCACAGACTCGAACCGGCGCCCTCGGATTACAAGATAGGCTTGCGATCCTTAAGGCCACGGGCTAGTAAAAGATAAGAAAGCTATAGATGGACAAATTACTGTGAGGTATGATGCAATCGCATAAATTCAACGGATAGAAATCCGGATATGAGCAAATACGTTTCCTTGTTTCAATGCACCAAAGACACTGTGATGACCGCAATGTCATCGAAGCATGTATTTATGTGTAATATAAGGTAATAATGTAAGGTACTGTTCTGGGCACATTCTGGCAGACAGATGAGGACACCGTGGGAATATCGACCCAGTTAAGCTATCGGAAGCGTTTCGGTGGCGGATTCAAGGGACATTTGAGGGACAGCGGTACATCCCACTAGAAGGTACAACACAGACGTAGATGTGTCGGCTACGTATGCAACAACCGTGGCATGTACGCATTAGGTCGGTACGTCGTATCGACGCTTCGTTGCATGAGCATCACCAGTCGCGTGAGTGCTAGGGATACTGCGAGGGTCGCGCTGCACCTACGCAGCCTCGAACCAAGGATCTGTGGAGTACAAGGGCCGTGGCAAAATGAAGTACGCACTCGGCTAGCAGCCCGGAAGTCACCGGTTCGATCCCGCGCAGATGCAGGTGACATCGTTGTTAACTCAGCCCACGTGCGAGTTGCGGTAGTTACGTGGCGGCAAAGCGTCTGCACGGTATGTGCAGGCACATTGCAGATGTGCCGTTTTTCGGTGTCGATTACAGTACAGGCAAGATGGAGGCATTTACATGGCAAAGTCCTCGGTGACGGTAGTTGGCCAGTGGTCGAATGGGTTTACGCGGTTGCTTGGTAATCCGGAAGTTACCAGTTAGAATCCACGCAGGTGTGGGTGACATCTCGATATACACTACCCGCTCGCGACTGATGGTGGTCGCGCGGCAGCGAAGCGTCGGTACGGTGTGCTGCCACATTGTTGATGCTTTGGAGTACAAACTAGATGCCTGAACCACTCGACCACCGATCGGTAGAATCAAGTTGACAGGTGATAGCAAGCTAACTCAGCTCAATATCGCTTCTCTCGGTCGCATGCTCTGCCAGAGAGCCACGCAGTTACCACTCCAATGGAAGATCGCATTAATATGCATATAATCAAGGGGTCACAAAGTTTTGTCAAAACCGGTAGCGGTACATTTTCCGATCTGGGTGAGCTACGTATAAATGAATTCGAACAGGAAGGAGAAAGTTTTAGATACCATACAATGGAATAGAACACAAGAGCTATGAAAAATGTCAGGTAATGGGACGCTAGTGGAACTGTAACCCGTCATCTAACAGCGGTACATCAGCACTTACATTAATGCTAAATTTCCATGCGAGAAATTACTCGCCCCCCCCACGTCCAATGAGGGGAATAGCGAGAGGAGAGAAGTCGGATCTAGTGCGAAATCTAAGTGTTTAGGTAACTATACATGGCGAGGTCGCCTACAAAATCGGCACAGCGTGATTACAAACAGCTTGCCATCATGCGAATTTAACGTGGTATGGGCGAAGAAGCTTCTTGTTCAGTGGCCATACCAGACGAACGCACGATTTCACAGCATGGGAATGGATGAACAAAATGCACAAAAAAGGTTTGGCCAGACGAATAGACAAGCATATATGGTGCACCGTGACCAAGTAGCCGAGTGGTATGAAACCGGACATCAGGGCAAGGTGTGGTATGTGTTGCGGGCCCGTCAAATATTCTCGCAAAACGCGCCACAAACTCCGGCGTAATGGCTGTGGAAAGCGAGGTCCAATTCCACCCCACAACGTAGCAGTGTTCAGCCACTCCGAGACGCGGCCCAACTGCGCATCTGTTGACAATGTTCTCTTACAAACCACCACCCGTCGTGATAGCAATTTTCCCTAACTTAATGACCCTTTGCGTTTGCCATGATTCGCCCTTTGTTCGTCGTAAAAGAGCCTTCAGAGGACCACCTGTCTTGCTTCCTCTTCACCTTAGTTGGAAGTCGGTCGGTCACGTGATTTTGTGTGCGTCGATAGCCGGGCAACGTTCGCGTCTAAGTCACTAGCGCGCGTCTACCGTAACTCCCTCTCGCGTACGTTCTCTCGTCCGTTACGAGGGCTCAGCCTCTACCCGAATACGTGCGGCTAGGAACGTTCTCACGCTCGCTCAATTTCCGTTTCACCAGCGCGTACCCCGGGCTAAGCTAACGCCATCACGTCAGCGCAAATCCGTTAGGTTGGCCGGCCTCCAAAGCCGTTCTGGTAGGTGTGCTCCAATGTTCCCCGTGATAATCTTATCAGACATTCCCACAAACTTAACAGTATGGATATTCACTCAGGGAACTACGTTTAAGCTATAAATGTAACCTTTTACAGCGAAAAAAGCCCAGTCGTCGGTTCGAAGTTGGATTAAGAAGACCCGCCGCGTGATTGGATTGCAACAGACAATCTCTATAGAGACTTCGGTTTACCTTGAAACAGATATCGGTCATTTCGATCACCAGAACCGTATCCGAAATAGAAGGGTTTCGGTGTTTCTCCTCCTAACAATGACCCCCAAGACCGGTTTCCTTCTCGTTTGGACTCACCCGGAAGAGAGTCTGGAATGGGAATGGAACTGGGGCTCTAATGACCAATGGCTGATGCCTTGATCACCAAGCCACTGAGATCCGGTCTTGACCTTAGTAACTTCCGTTGCGACTCACTTTTAGCTTTCAATGTGCTGCGTCCCGAGTATTTTTGCCCTATACAACTGCGGTGTCTGAACATTAAAGAGGTAGTCCGTCTAGGTGACTATTGAAAACACGCACTGGTGCCATCGCGAGCCGCTTCCTGTAAAGTTTCGAGCAAAGAACATGGCGGATCGAATGTACTCCAGTCTGGAACGGAATACCTACCAACAGCACTCAGGCAGGCGATCATTGGTTCCAATTCCCACTGTCAGGTCAACGACTATTTCGCTAGTACCTCGCGTTATCCTAGACCAACCAAACAGCAAAAGGTACTCCTCGGTAAGCGATAGGCTGGCACATGTAGAGCCGAACCAAATTTCCAAACGGATCATCAACAGCGAATAGTTCGCCCAAATTCGGCAGTTTCTGTACCCGCAGCGATTCAATTCAATGAGCGGTTGTGTAGCGAACTCCGTCCACAACAGTTAGCCACATAATTTATGGTGATGTTAAAATGTCACTTGGTGAGCTACCATTACTTCTGTCGGATAGTGTAAATAAAGATGGGGCACGGAAAGGAGAACGAGTGAGTGAGATCATTGTCGTTTTACTCATGAAAAACAAATATCTCTAAACTCCTGTTGGATTTGTGGTACCAAAATGCCAGTGGATGTGCAACACTTAACATGACACCCTAATCGTTTTCTTAAGGGTTGATGGCAAATCTTTGTAACCCAGGGGTAAGAAATTAGCCGGTACTCACAAAACTTATGGGTTAATTCTCGGCTCGGATAATCGTCATTTGTAGAGGTCGGAGAAATGCAAATTGGGGAGCTGACAAAATCACTTACCTTTGCAATATTTAAAACTCTCCACCATGGTATTTATCGGGGAGTGCAAACCATCCGATACATCACTTCGCATTGCTTTGCTGTCCCATTCCGCAAACTCTCCGGGAACATAGTACG